GGGCGCGGCAGGTCAGTCACGGACCTGGCAGCCTGGAATCCAGGCTGGGCGCATGTGTGCGTGCGTGCCCCAAATCCTGAAAGAGAGTGGAGAAGGGATTGCGGTGTGGCCATCCCCACCCCGGGGGGTGTGATTTCTCACTTTCTCTCTGTCTTTCTGTCTTTCTGGTGAGCACATGTGCCCTAGAGCAAAAATCTCTCAAAAATATCGATGCTTTGTGGGAACCAGCAGTTAGCGTAGTGGCTATGTCGCTGGACTCCCACGTAGTCGACCGCGGTTCGCGTCCTGGACCCGCTGGCTTAAAACTCACGCCGGGCGCGTGTGCATGCATGCCTAAGATCCCGAGAGGAGAATGGAGGAGAAGGGATTGCAGCGTGACCATCCCCCCTGGGGGGTGATTTCTCACTTTCTGTCTCTCTGGCTCTCTCTGTCTGTCTGGCAAGCGCACACGCCCTATAGCAAACATCTCTCCAGAAAAAAAGCATAAACTTTTTTTCAGCGAGAAGCGAACGTCTGAAGGGTGCCTTCTTTCCTCTGGGGCTCATGAAATGTGCAGATGCATCCATGAATAGTAGTGTGGAGGACTCTTATTCTTCTGAATTAACAAATTCTAGGGGCTAGCAGGTGGCATGGTGGTCAAGGGCACTGGACTCCCATATGACCGACCACGGTTCTAGTCCTAGACTAGGTGGCTTGCCTTCTCACTTTCTCTCTCTCTCTCTCTCACTCCAGTCAAATTTAAATACATGCATACATACATATATACAAAGTCAAGTAATTCTTAAAAAAAAAAAAAAATTCTAATTTAGTGCACTCTCAGCAGAGCTTTTCATACTTATTTAACTAAGAATGTGTCTTGATTTGGTGTTTAGAAAACCATCTAACAACGACAGTCCTGTAACTGCCTGATAAAATTGAGGGAGCCTGACATGCAGTGAATCTGGAGGCAAGGTCCCCAGCTCCAGTACGGGGACCTGCGGGCTGAGACCTCTCCCTCTGCTGCGTGGTGCCCAGCATGCTTTAGGAGTCAAACGTGATGAAGATGAGACCGTGTCCCCCCAGACGTCCCGGCTGGCTCCGTGGCTGGAACGACACTGGCTGACGCCTGCTACTGGCAGTATTACTCTCCTCTGACTGACGCAGACTGCCATCGGCCGCTCAAGTGCGGGCCTGCGCCCCGGACAGAGCAGCCTGGGGGCTCTCGCCGGCTGGGTGTGTAGCTCCCTCCCTGGGGACAGGCGAATTGCTCTGCTGACCACACGTGAGGACCCCGCCACGCCGTGTCCTGCCTCCCCGTGACAGCGCAGGTGATCGCCACACAGAGCAGGTTCTGACCCACCGCCCACCGCGCCGACTGTGCAGGCCCCCTCCAGTAGGCCCACTGGACTGGCACCCCAAATCTACGCCGTGTCTACAGTTAATAAAATGCTGTCCGGGGACAGATTTTGTGGTAAAGAAGCCCAACTTTATCCTAGAAACTGAAGCTAAGTAAGCGCAACTGCCGTTTCTCAGGGCCCCGAAGTCTTGCCATCTAGGAATGACCGCCTGAATTATTTTCATTCTGCCTGCTTTCTCTGGGACAGTTCGTAAGCCTTAATCGGAAGACGCCCGGGCTGGGCCGATTACATGATCTGCATATCCGAGCGAGTGCGGCCACTGCCTGGGACGCCAGGGGTGCAGACGCGGTGCCAGTTACTAAGCGAGCCCGGCAGGGACAACGCGGCCGGGGTGGTCTCTGCACAGCCCGCAGCCTGAGCGACGTCTGCCCTCCGGCTCCCGAGTCTCCTTCCCGCCATGCCTGGAGGTCCGCCCCGTGCATTAGCCCGGCCAGCTCGGTCAGGAGAGGACACGAGATGTCCCCGTCTGCACAGGACAGGGCTGACTGCGGGCCTGACAGCCATCCTCTGCAGTCCCATCTGCTTCAGTCTCCCACACCGCACTCGTGTCCCTTCAGTAAACCTCGCGTTCAAACAAAACGGTGCGTGTGGGCTTTCTCTGTGCAGACGGAACGGGCGGGGCTGGGACACTGAGTCCCCGACAGAAGGGACTCAGCTGCTGCTGTCTACCGAGAGTTTACGGCACCACCGCTGTGCTTAACTTCCCGACGACGTCCGCCCGTGACAGCGAGGACGCCAGTCAGGGAAGGAGCGGGAAGCTTGGTCTTTGCCCGTGACTGATTCCGTACACGGGAGAGCCGGTCCCTGCACCCACTTTCCTTCCTTCGTGACGGATGGGGCCAGGTAAAAGTAGGCAACTGGTCCATACAGCTTTATTTCGGTATTTACTAAAATTTTAAATAGAATCATGTAAAAAACAAACATTCCAAAAGTGCAGAGCGTTAGAAAGCGAATCAGGGCCAGCAATCGCTCCATGCAGACGCGCTCTGCCGCTGAGATGGGCGGGCAGAAGTCTGCAGCGGGCAGGTGCAGCGACACGCCGGATTCACAGACAGGCGGTGAGGACGAGTCCGGTAACGGGGTCTCAGCTGAGCTGGTCACCGCGGGGAACACAGCCGTGAGCACCCCACGGGCGGCGGCCCAGACAGCGAGCTCTTCTGCAGCTTGGTTCCTTCCACACCGGGATAGAAACGCATCTTTGTACACAGGGTGGCTAAGCTAGCCAGGGTCGCACTGTCCCTCTTTGGTCACAGGAACGCGCTTCTGCTTGTCCTCTGTCTCACTCCCGAGAGCGCCTTCCTAACATGAAGGGCGACCACACCCCCAAAGCAGCGACACGACAGAAGCTCCCCCTTCAATGCACAACGAATGCTCCTTGAGTCCCAAGAGCCCTCACTCAGCCTACTCAGTAATGAAAATAAAGTGTCCCACAGACCGGGAGCAGCGGGCTGTTTACTCGGCCTTAATCTACAGAGGACACGGGAAAGCTGGGCTTGACCTGTTCCCTGGCCTTGCCTCCACGGTCCCCAGCCTGGAAATTGCCTTTTCCTTTTCTCTTGAGAAAGGGGCACAGACCAGTGTGAAGGGTGGCTTCAGCGAGAATTAAACGCCAGCACTTTGGTTACCATGGTACGTTTACAAAATATATATATATACACATATTATCTAGACAGACAGGTAAGGAGACAGACCGGGCCCGCCCGCCAGTCACCGGACACAGCCACAGGCGCCGGCACGGTAGAGGCCAACCGTAAAGTGCGGAGACAGGGACCAGCTGACCGGTGAGGGAGAAGAGGCCCGAGCAAGGCTGACCACCAGATGCCGGATCCACGCTCGCCGACAGGCACGTGTGCCCCAGACCTGGCTCGCCCCGACCCTGCAGGAGCTGCTCCTTGGACCCGATGGCCATGGATTCTTCTTTGGGAATAAGTGAGGCCCTCGCCGCTGGCCAAACCTAGCTGTCAGCCCGCACTGCCTGTGTCCAGAGCCCGCAGTCAGCACTCTGGAACACGGGGCTTACCAAGGCAGTGACACTTACCACACCACACCCCGTGTCACCTCGAGGAAGTGGCGATTGATTTAAATTGTTTTGCCGTAGAGGCACCACTAGCAGATTTTATTTATAATCAAAGCTTTAGCCTGTTCAGGTCATGTCATTTCCAGTTAAAAGTCAGCTTTTAACTTTGTCCTTGACATAAAACTAAAAGCTATTATCAGATAACTAAGTCAGAGCTCACCTAGGGTCTCCCATTTTGGAGTGGGATCTAGAAGACCGGTCTAAGCTACTTAACGTGTGTTTTGTAAAGACGCACCCCGCGTGGACGCACCCGTGCCCATCAGGCTCCGACGCGCTCACACAGCTGTAAACACAGAACAGCACCGGCGGGCACCGGCGGCAAGTCCTGCACCGCCGGCGCCCGGCGTCAAGTCTGTCGGCCGTGGGTGGACAGCCCTCGTCTGTGGCGATGCGCGCTCTTCTCCTTGGGGAGGAACCGCGGGAAAGCGGCGCTGGCTCAGAAACCCTCGCAGCCTCCCCAGCACCCACAGAGGCTCAGTGCCCCGGGAGGGGCAACCCAGCGTCTCTTCTAAATAATCCAGACCTGCTTCCAAACTGGAACCTTCTCTAAAGAGAAGACATTTCCTAGAAAAACTTCCACCCAACCCGAAACAGATCAAACCCCCAATCAGTTTTATACCTTCTCGGGTCCCGAGCAGCCCCGAGCAGCACCAGCGCTATGACCAGAGTGGGGACGCAGACCGCCCCACGGTGGAGAAGCACGGAGTGTCACATGGAGCAGCGGTGAGAGGAGGAGGGTCTGCCCTCGGCTTTTCCACTCACGTCCAAAGACCCCGGTGAGAGGAAGTGGCAGGCAGCATGCAGGAAATGAGGTGGCCGCGGAGAGGGGACTGTGGCCGCGAACAGGTGGGTGTTCCGGGAGGGCCCCTCTGTGTCTGTCTGGTGAGAGAGCAGAAGGGGTCACCCCAGGCTGTTTGTAATTAAAATGATAACTTGTCGGGACCCGCAGATGGCATAACGGTTACGTCACTGGACTCCCACATAGTCAACTGTGGTTCGAGTCCTAGACCTGGCAGCTTACAACTCATGCCAGGCGTATGTGTGTGCATGCCCAAGATCCCAAGAGGAGAATGCAGAAGGGGTTGCAGTGTGGCCATCCCCCTTGGGGGGTGATTTCTCACTTTGTTTCTCTGTCTCTGTCTCTCCTGTGAGTGCACTGCCTTATAGCAAAAAAAAAAAAAAGAATCTCTCAAGAAAAAAAAAAATATATATATATAACTTGCCATGGTAACTCTCAGTCAAACAGAACTTATTATGACCCTGAGTTGATACTAAAAAATGACAGGGGCACCAGTAGAACAGGACTCATCCTCAGGTGGACAACTATGCTCCACGGATTGTAACTGGAGTCCCTCTAAGGACAACGCCTAGATCTTGGTGACAGCAACAGGACAGTGTGTTCGCAGAGTGCCTGAGGCCCCTCGCCTCCAAACACATCCGTCCGTAAGAACTGCGCTGTACACATGGCCCATGAGACTTACAGGCAGCAGCCACAGGTAGGCCGTCACTGTAAAGGGTAAAGGCTGGTCCAGGAAGACGCCCTGGGTCTGGTAGATCTCTTTGAGGACCAGCAATACTGTATCTTCAGATTCCCTGGAAAGAGCAAAATGTAGTTTGAGAAAAGGAACATTTTTGCTAGGCTAGGCACCTCATACATGTAGTGTCTCATTTTATCCACACAACCACCTTGCAAATTCATTTTTCCCTGCTGCAAAAAATGAGATTCAGAGTTGATAAGCCTGTGGTGATGTGGAAGGTGACCGAAGGCCTCTAGCTTATGTTTGGCAGTGCAGAACAGCTAGGAGGGAGTGACTAAGAACTCTTCCCACAGAGCTCGTTCACGAGACAACACTGAAGAGCCATCATTGGTCCACTTGATTTGTAAAATGTTATTCACTTTTTTTAAAACGTAATACCATCTGGGACCAGCAGTTGGCATAATGGCTGTGTCCCATGGCATAATGGCTGGACTCCCATGTAGTCAACCACAGTTCGAGTCCCAGACCCAGTGACTTAAACTCACACCACGTGCATGTACGTACGTGCCCAAGATCTCAAGAGAAGAATGGAGAAGGGATTGCAGCATGGCCATCCCCCCTGGGGGGGTGATTTCTCGCTTTCTGTCTTTCTGTCTTTGTCTTTCTGGAGAAAGCATGTGCCCTATAGCAAAACCCTCTCCAAAAAAGAAAGAAAGAAAAGGTAATACCATCACATGGTCCAAAATTCAGAAAACATATACAAGTAACAGTGAGGTCGGGGGACCAGTGGATTGTGTGGTGGTTGAGGCGCTGCACTCCCACATGGTTGGCCGTAGCTCAAGTCCTGGACCTGGTGGCTTGCTTTCTCACTTTCCATTTCTGTCTCTCTGGTCAAAGTAAAAAACAATAATAAATGGGACCAGCAGATGGTGTAATGGTTACATCACTAGACTTCCACACAGTCGACCAGGTTCAAGTCCCAGACCCAGAGGCTTAAAACTCACACCGGGCAAGTGTGCACACAGGCCTGAGATCCTGAGAGAATAAGAATGGTTTGCAGTGTGGCCATCCCCCAAAGGTTGAGTTCTCGCTTTCTGTCTGTCTCCCCAGCGAGCACACACATCCTATAGCAAAAATATCTCTAAAAAATAATTAAAAACAGTAATGTATAAACTATATCATTTTTAAAATAATTATTTAACTTTATTTATTTATTTTAATTTGACCGGAGAGGGACAGAGTGAGGGAGAGAAAGAGAGAGGGAAAGTAAGAAAGCAAGACACCAGGCCCAGGATTCAAACCACTGTCAGCCCTGTGGGAGTCCAGCACCCTTAACCACCACACCACCTACTAGCCCCAATAAATAAATCTTAAAATAATAATAATAATAATAATGAAGTCTGTCTCCAGCCTCTGACAGCCAGTCTGGACGATTTCTCATGTATCTCCCAGGTACAGCAGTTACTCACATCCACAATTCATACTGAGATTTGACTAGCAAAGACAACATTCATGAAGGGTTACCTTAAGGGTACAAGGCTCAAACATTCCTCTAGGTCTGTGGTTCAGCATTTTTTTTGAGGTGTATGTTCCTTTGAGGATTCCTTTTTTGAGGAATATATTCCTTTGAAATCTATGGATTTCTTCCCAGAAAGACCACATACATATAGAGCCAAAATTATAAATAGGATTTCATTGTATTCATAGAGTCTCTGAAGACTCCATACATAGAATCCAGTTGAAGAAACTCTGAAACAGGTCAGCAGGTGGCACAGTGGTTAAAGTACTGGACTCTCACATGGCAGACCGTGATTCAAGTCCCAGACCCAGTGACTTAAAAACCATGCCAGGGGGCTAGCAGGTGGCGTGGTGGTTAAAGGCGCTGGACTTCCAGATGGCCGACCATGGTTCAAGTCCTGAATCTGGTGGCTTGCTTTCTCACTTTCCCTCTCTCTCTGTGTCTGATCAAACTGGAAAGTAACAATAATAATAAAGTTAAATAAAATAATTATTTAAAAGAAAAAAAAAAACTGTGCCAGGCCAGGTGCGTATGTGTGTGTGTCCAAAATCCCAGGAAGAGAACAGAGGATCTGGATCCCACGTGGCCATCTGTGGTCTGGCTCTCAGCCCTGGTAGTTTAAAAAACACACCAGGGTGGACGTGTGCTCCAAACCCTGACGGCGTGCAGGAAGTGGGGGGAGGGACTGCCCCACACTCATGCCCAGCTAGGGGTTATCTCTCTGGCAAGCACACGTGCCCTCTGCAACTACAGATCCTTTAAATAAACAGACAAGAATTAAATGGTACATAAGCAGATTGTGTGGTGTCTGAGGCCAGAGGGAGGCCCAGGTGGGACTCCTGACCCAACCTAAGGCTAGGCACGGTGACACGCACTCGGAGTCCCAGCCACCTCGGGAGGCTGAGGCAGGGAGGGCCACGACATAACAAGTCTGTTAAATACTCCTCTCCCCACTCCTTCCCTCCCACTGGCTGTGTGCTCGCATGCTCTCCCTCTCTCTCTGATTTTAAAAAAAAAAAAAGGAAGTTCAGAAATAGTTCCAACTATGTACAGGAAGTTTAAAACAATAAAGTTAGAATCTCAAATATGTTAATAGTACTGAGACAATTAGACAACCTTCTGGGAAAAAAGATGACCTACCTCTATCCACACCTTATGTTAAGAAAGTTATTAAGCAAATCATAGATTTACATATCTTTTTCTTTCTTTTTTTTTTCCTTTGGAGAGATTTTTGCTATAGGGCATGTGCACTCGCCAGAAAAAGAGACAGAAAGCGAGAAATCACCCCCCAGGGGGGATGGTCACGCCGCAATCCCCTCTCCTCCATTCTCCTCTTGGGACCTTGGGCACGCACGCACACGTACACAACATGAGTTTAAGTCACTGGGTCCAGGACTCGAACCGCAGTCAACTACACGGGAGTCCAGTGACATAGCCATTACGCCAACTTCTGGTCCAGCAAATCACAGATTTACACATCTAATGTAAAATATTATAATAAACTGTGGTAAGGTTTTCTTTTTTGAAAATAAGAAAGATCTAAGTATGACATAAATTCCAGAAACCAAAGGCAAACATCAACAAATTTGGGCATGCACACACACCTGAGGTCTTTCTCAAGCTGCTGGATCCGGGACTTGAACTGCACAGTTGGCCACATGGGATCCAGTCACCTTAACCACCATGCCACCGGCTGACCCCACCATGTCTTTAAATGACATTTATTGTGCCAGTTTTTAATCATCTAAATGAGAAATCATCCTAATCCCATATGTAGACTGGCCTATCCTTTCTCTACCTCTATCAAATACCAGTGAAAACAAACACCTAATAAAATTGAACAAAACGGCACCTACCAGTAGCACAGGTGGCTTTGTAAAGCAAATAGATACTCGTTGAAGCTCTCGATGGGCTTCTCCTGCAGCACGTGGTCAATGCGCCGGCCCCCGTTAAGCATCCCCACGTGGATGGGTGCCACTTCCTCCTTATCGGCCACGGAGGTCTCTTCTGTGCTAACCTCTGGACGTGGAAGTGGGAGGCCCACAGTTAGTGTCTAAGAGCTTGCACCCTCCAGGCCTGTCCTGTTACTTCCGGAGAGATTCCAGGTCTACCTTAGGGTGCGCTGTTCTCTTCCGAGCTCCACGCCTTCCTCCTCTCCGTTCCCTGATGTTCCTCGAGCCACCCCCACTCTGGCCAGCCCCTCATGCCTTTCACTCAGCCGAGCCCGTGACCTGAGCCTACGATAGCCAAGCCTCGTGCCTTGGGCTTGTGAACCAACCGCGAGCCGGAACAAAGCTCGTAAACGCTACAGTTTAGTTTTCAACTAAAGCAGAAGAATGTAACATTGACTGTGAAATTAAGTGGAGAGTATCCTGGTCCCCAGTCAGGAAATAAAAACGGGTCCACAGACACGCAGACCATCCCTGGGCAGACCCGCTGTTCCCACGAGGAGAGCGTGGTCCGGCCTGGCTCCTGGATGCTCGGCCAGCCTCTCTCAACGTCGCTCCTCACACATAACGGGAAGCCAGGATGAAGGAAGCTCGGAAGGCCCTCCAGAGGAGGGAGGATGGAGACGAAGAGCTGCAGACTACGGGGTCCCTCTCCCCCCTGCCCTCACGCCAGGACGGAGTTCGGTGTCACTCACCACTGGGCTTCTCTGGACTCGGCTCAGGTTCTGCTTCTGCTTCTGCAGCTTCTGACGCTTGTAAGGCAGGGTATGGAGACCTGGTGAAAGACTTCCAAGCCATCCGCAGCGAGCCTAGCAAGTTGTTCTTAAGGTCCATACTCATCCTGGTCAACCCCTCTCTCAGTTCTGAAACACGCGGACAGGGACGTTACGTGGTGACAAGGCATTTAGGGCCTGAGGGACCATGCGGTCCTGCTCTCAGACTCACCTAAGTGCATCCGCTTCCTGCCTTTATGATGTGGGATCAGCATTGGTTCGAATTCCATTCCTGGTACCACCATAGGTTCAATCCTGTAGGCCACAGGGTCAAACTACACAGGAAAAATAAGGGCTGTCTCCCTCTGCTCAAGAAAGTTGACCTAAGGAACGACGGGTCTTGGGCAAGAGTCATTGTGAGCTCACTCTTGCGAGGCGGCAGTGCGCAGCTGCAGCATGCAGTGACGCGAGGCTCCGAGATGCAGAGCCACGGGGGAGGGTCCCGATCTGCACCTGCGGTCTCCCCGCACCTGCGGTCTCCCCACGCATGCCGCACGTGAGCGTGTATGCCGCCATCCCGGCTGGCTCAGACGGGGTATGAGTCAGGGTGTGACGGCCCTAGTGGGGGTGCCTGCCTCTCTGTCCATCTCTCTCATGGAAGACACATTTTTATATGTAGCCGTTCTACCCTATCACCTCCAGACCAAACTCTCATAAGTTACCTCGTTCCTGGAGAAGAGTACAGAGAAAAGGCAAATCGACACGACAGAATCACAGAGGGGCAGGGCTGCGAGGCCGGCACACACGGGCAGCCCAGGATGGTGTCGGGACCTCCCGAGCACACCAGGCACTGGTGACTGTGACCCGGGGCTGGCAGAGGCCAGGGCAGACCACGGCGTGAAGACCCTGTTGGGGAGGCTTGTCTCTTTCTCTTTCTGTCTCACTTGCTCATGGAGGAAAGCAAGCAGATAATACGGGTAATAAAGAGAGGAAGGGAGGAAGGAGGGGCGGAGAAGAAAACCATGCGCTCGGCACACGTAGGCCCCAACGTCCGACTAGAACCACAGTAGCTTACGGGATGGTAAATATTGAAGAAACCTTTGCATGTTGGAAATTTGTAGTTGGGATCGATCCTTTTTAGTCCTCGGACAGTAAGGAACATTCCGATAGGAGACCCAAAGGCGAAGAATATCTCTGGCTTGTACATGAGCCGGGGGTACCTTACAGACACCTGGAAGGAGGAGTAAAAGCATCTCACTGGCGACAAAGCGACACCTGTCCCCGCACACCGATGGCAGGCAGTCCGTGACCGAGGGGAACCGGTGCTGTTACCTGCCCGATGCCCACATCGGGGTACTCGTCACACCCAGAACCGTCGGTACCGCTGCAGAGCTCGGGCCCCCGGGGGATGCTGGGCCCTGAAGCCGGCCGTGGGCTTGGTCTGCTGACACCCTGAAGAACCAAAGGCGGTTACGTGGGGCGTGTACACGGTGCACATTACACAACGCCTACCGATCTGAAAGGGTGCCTGGAAAAGCTCTGGAATAGTAAGCTGGTATTTTTTGGAAGAATCCCACAGGAGATAAGACAAAGCTGATGAAAACGAGAGTCGCCTTCAATTATGAACTGCACGCGAACGCTCTGGAAGGATGGACGCTGCACTCGGCCCCCTGGGCAGCAGCGGGAGCTCGGAGTGGTCATGGAGACAGGAACAGCCCTGAGGGAAGGGATGCGGCAGGGGAGGCAAGCAGGATGCCATGTGGGGACAGACGTGCCACGATGACTCGCCACACGCCGCTGTGGCCCCCAGCATTATGCACCGCATGGCCTCGGCGGGTAGCAGGTGGGTCCACCCAGGTTTGTGTACTTCACTCTATGACATACGTCAAGTGATGCAGGACTGCACAGGTGCTGGCCAAGAGCTACGTCTAAAAAAAACAAACTAGGGGCCTGCAGGTGGCATCGTGGTTAAGGTGCTGGGCTCCCGCATGGCTGACTGTGGTTCAAGTCCTGGACCTGGCAGCTTGCTTTCTCACTTGCCCTCTCTCTCTCTCTCTCTCTCTCTCTCACCCTGTCCCTCTCTGGTCAAATTGAAATAAATAAATTAGAATAAAATAAATTTAAAAATTTTTTTAAACACTTGTGTATTTAATTTTATTTATTCATTCATTTATTTTATTTTGAACAGAAAGAAACAGAGAGAGAGAGAGGGAAAGTGAGAAAGCAAGCCACCGGGTTGGGACTCGAACTATGGTCGGCACCTTAACCAAAACGCCACCTTTGGTCCTGAATAAAATAATTCTCTAAAAAAAAAAAATAAAAAAGTAAAAAGAGAGGCAAAGGCCAATTACCAAAGTGCTCCGTCTCCCAGACAGCACACCCCACAGAGCACAGCTCCACCACGGACCTAACAGACCCGCCCAGTCCAACACAGCGTAGGAGGCACCTACCAGGGGCTCTTCTCTGGTCCTAAAAGAATCCAGTATCTTCTTCCTTGGTCCTAAGGGAATCCCCATTGCCTGAAGATCACTGTCTGTACATAAGGCCTAGGGACAGGAAACCAAGTAATTATTTCTGGGCAAAACATCAGCTCAGCGTCTTTCCTGAGAGCCGTCTTCCTCTGCCTCACACTGTGCTGGCTCCCCACCCCCCCCAGCATCAGTAACTTCAAGAACAAAAGACTATTTGATTCCTCGACAGCCTAAAGAACAGAGAGTACCAATACCAGAGTGTCAGTGTGACAGCACAGATAGCACCGTGCTGTTTGGGAAAGAAAGCAAGCAAGCAGTCAGGTATCTAGTAACTTCATGGCAGGGAACTGCCCCAGATTTCCACGTGCACCAGGTGCCCCGCACCTCGGAGGGTGCCCTCCTCCTCACGGACACGGGGTGAGCATGCCCCGGCACACAGAGCCTAGAACCGGCTAGCAGTCGGGGTCTCAGCGAGCACCACGCATCGTATCAGGCCTCCTTCGCTCCCGAACACTAGGTCAGCGCACCGGATTAAAGCACATCCTAACACCGTGTGCCTTTTCCTCTTGGCGCTGATGGGAACTAGCAATTCACATGTCTGTTATTTCACATGTGTCTTCCCCGCAGCCTATAAACACAAGGGCTCAGGAGCCAAACCCGCCTTCCTTGCCAGTCCTGAGCGCGTGGTCTCGTATGCCCAAGCAGCGAGCACTTACTAAATGCCTTAGATGATGGGGTGTATCACAGACCAGAAAAAAGCACAGCAAAAGTGGGAAGAGCAGAGACGGACAAGCAAAGAACAGCAGGGGAGCTCCCGTGAGAGGGCAAGACACAGCAGTGGGACACGCTGTGGCCACCGGGGCTGTCCTTGCCCTCTGTCCTCTCTGGGCCACGTGGTCTAGACTTTGCCCACTGCTCTGGGAGTGTCCGTGTGGTACACCTGAACTTTGAATTCCCACAAAGCAAAGGCCACTCTATGTGGTTAAAGACAAATGAAAATGCTGAAAAGCACTACTAATGGTATTTATGACTACCAAGCTTCTAAAGGACAGGACAGACTCTTAGTGAACGTGATGAAGATAAGAATAACAACACTAAACATGGTTTGACATCGGTTTTAAAAGATCGTTGTTACCAGAGCTTCCTTATCTACCCTCTCCTTCTCGAAGATCGGAAGGTACTCAGAGAGTTGGAGTTTCTTCAGATCCTCCTCCAGTGTCGGTGTATCTCCTTGACCCATAACAGTAGTTAGCGAGCCCTAAAAATTAAATGGTAAAGCTCATGTCCTGAAAATCCAGTCAGTCTCCTCAGTAACACTACTTTGTGATAAAGAAATGTATTATACACTTGGCCCTCTATATCCATGGGTTCCGCAATCTGCAGATTCAACTGACCACGGACAGAAAACACGGAGAAAGCTTTCAGTAGGGCTAGCCCCGTGGCCGGCCGACTAAGGAAGCCAGCACCCACACGGCTGACGGAGCGGCTCAGGTCCCAGACCCGACGGTTCCACAACCACACAGGCATGTGTGTGTGTGTGTGCGCGCAGAAAACCCTGACATGGAAGAACAGAGGAGGGACTGTGGCATGACCACACGCTGGGGTACGCATACCCTGCTCCCTCTAGGGAGCACACATGCTTTCTGGCAAATTTTAAAACTAAAAAATGTATCAGTTTTCCTTAAGTACAGTATAAGAACTCTATATATAACACTTATGTCAGACTGGATATCACTAAGTAATCTAGAGATACCTTAAACGTATACGGGAGCAGGTTAGGGGCCAATAGACGGTGTGGTCTTTAAGGCGCTGGACCCTCACATGACCGACCACGGTTTGAGTCCTGGACCTGGTACCTTGAAGATCCCACCAGGCACAAGTGCATGCATGCTTGCCAAAAACCCCAAGAAGACAGTCATGGAGGAAAAGCGTATGGAGCACGGCTACCCCTGCTGGAGGGCAGCTTCTCATTTTCCTCTCCCCCATCTGTCTGTCCTCTCTGGAGAATGCACACATAGGAACAAAAAGGTGTATGGGAGCATACGTCTTTGCATATGTAGTTATATCTGCATTAACTGCTCCATTCTATAAGAGACTTGACCACCCATGACTCTGGGTATCTGTGGAAGGCCCTGGAACCAGTCTCCTGGGGAATACTGGGGGACCACTGTGTAAGATTTCGGCAGCAATGAATCTGAACTTCCAAACACTTGTACCTTATGCAAAATATAGGTGATTGATCTCTTAAGTTTTTGCAGTTTCAGTTAAAAATATATTTTAGGGGACCAGCAATTGGCATAATGGCTATGTCGCTGGACTCCCATGTAGTCAAACACGGCTCGAGTCCCAGACCCAGTGACTTAAACTCATGCAGGGTATGTGTGTGTGTGTGCCCAAGATCCGGAAAGAATAGAGGAGAAGAGATTGCGGCATGGCCATCCCCCCGGGGAGTGATTTGTCACTTTCTGTCTTTCTGTCTCTCTTTGTCTTTCTGGTGAGCGCATGCACCCTATAGCAAAAACCTCTCAAAAAAAATTTAAAATTTAAAAAATATGTGTTTTTAAATGAATGAGTGAAGAAATGATTATCAAAGCATTCTTGACCACTAACTAACATTTACTCAGTTCTTATTAGAGAAAAACTGCTTTAAAAATACATGTCAGGACAGCAGGTAGCTGGAGGCTAGAGCACTGGCCCCTTTATGGCTGACTCACGATGCAAGTCCTGGACTGGCAGCTTAAAAACCCCTCCAGGTGCATGTGCGTGCATGTCCAAAATCCCCAGAGGAGAATGAAGGAGAAGGGCTGCAGCGTGGCCACCCCCAGGGGGTGATTTGTCACCTTCTCTCTCTCTGTCTCTGTCTCTCTCCAGTAAGTGCACACACCCTATGGCAAAAGCCTAAAAACGAAAATAATAATAATAATAAAACAGGGACCATCAGGTGGCATTGTGGTTAAGGCATTGGACACTCTCACATGGCCAACCACAGTTCGAGTCCTGGATCTGGTGGCTTGCTTTCTCGCTTCCCGCTCCCCTCTCTCTCTGGCCAAATTAAAGTATATGAATGAATAAATAAAATTACATAAATAATTCTTTTAAAAAATAATAATAATTTAGCAGTCTAAGACAAAGCCCCACACTGGAAAAACTGATGGTCTAATGGGAGAAATAGACACTAACATAAAAGGAGAAAAAAGTCCAAGACAGTGTGTGCTGAGCAGCACATCAGGATGGCTGCTGGCACGTGCTCCCAGGGCTGTTTTACTACCAGAGATGTTTAAACCAGTCTCCTCACTGCTTTCCAACAGCTTCTATAAATCCTATCAATTCGTACCCAATTCCTTCCTCATTTTTAAAAATAGGTATTTATTTTGTTATTATTATTTTTTAATGTTGATGAGAGAAGTAGAGAGAGAGAAAGTGAGAGAACAAGCTGCCATGTCCGAGACTGGAACCGTGGTTAGCCATGTGGAAGTCCAGCGCCTTAACCACTATGTCACCTGCTGGCCCCCCTCATTTTCTGACATGCAAACTACATTTAGCTCAGTGATTCTATAATTCTATTAATCAGTAGAAAGGAAAATAAGACACTCTTTTTGACTGTAACAATTATTACATTACTATCTTGCTTCTATTGTCCAATAATAGACCGTTAAAATACAGGTAAACGTATTCTCATGAGACTAAATTCGGCTTACAGCAGAAAACTCCAGAACTACACGTCCTCATTTGGAATGCTGTAAGAGCACCTAGCTGAAGATGGGATTACCTGTTCACTGTCGATATTCCCCAGAGGGTCCTTCTGATTTGTTAGGATGTCAAACAGTATAAGCGAACCTGTAAGTACAATGGAAGAGAGAAGACAGTTTCTCGGTGGCACTAAACAGCTGGCTGTCCCGCCAAGTCGCAGGCAGTCACACCTGTACGGTCTACACGGCAGGAAGTCTTTCCTCCCAGTTCGCCACCTCCCTCCCACCCCTCCAAACTGCAATCCAGACCTCTGAATCTGATACTGACAAAAGACACCCTGGTTAAAAAACCGGTGTCCTTAAAATGTCACAGTTAGCTAAATGTCACTGTTACCTAAACTATGACCAGCAATGGATACACCCCCTTTAAAATCAGGGTTCCTCTGCAGAAAAAGTGTGTAAATCCGGTTCATTTCGGAGGCCACTGTGTCCACGATGGTCTGGCAGTAGGTGGGGCTGTTGTAGAAGAAGACGTCCAGGATCGTGTCATTGGTGAAGTGCCTGAGGCGGTTAATGCTGGGCAGGGTGATGCGCTGCAGGTCGCTGAAGCAAGAAGGACGTTTTAGGTGGAGCCTCCTCCTCGGACCACGGCCGCCTCTATGTCACGTGGAGCTGAGCCTTCAAGCTTCGCTCGAAAACATTTAATGATGCAACAGGCGGCTGCTAACTTATCATAAAAATAGGACTAAGAAACACACTCAGTGGAGCCAAGGGAAATCGTCAGCAAAACACGAGTGTTAAGAAACCCTACGGGGCCAGAAGGTGGTTAAGGCACTGGACTCTCACATGGCCATACTGACCAACCACAGTTCGAGTCCCAGATCAGATGGCTTGAAACTCATGCGGAGAGCATGTACGTGCATTCCCAAAATCCAAAGAGGAGAATGGAGAAGAGATTGCAGTGTGTCCATCCCTTCTAGGGGGTGATTTCTCACTTTCCCTCTCTGTCTCTGGCCAGTGTATATGCGCTATGACAAAAATCTAAAAAGAAAAAAGAAAAAGAAAAAAAAAAGAAACCTACGAGACAGGGCCACCAGGTACCAGGAAGGTTAAGGCAGCTGGATCCTACATGGCAAACTATGCGGTTCGAATCCCAAACCCAGTGGCTTAAAAACACAACCAGGTATATGTGCATAGATGTCCGAATTCCAAGACAAGAATGGAGGACAAAGGACTGCAGTATGGCCATCCCCCCGGGGATAATTTCTCACTTTCCCTCTCTCTCTCTCCAGTGAGCACATGCCCTGTAACAAACTAAAAATAATTTTTTTTTTTTTTGGAGAGGTTTATCGCTATAGGGCGCGTGCGCTCACCAGACAGACAGAGAGACAGAGAGACAGAAAGCAAGAAATCACTCCCCAGGGGGGATGGCCACGCCGCAATCCCTTCTCCCCCATTCTCCTCTCGGGATCTTGGGCACACACGCACACGCGCCCGGCCTGAGTTTTAAGCCACGGGTCCGGGACGCAAACCGTGGTCGACTACGTGGGAGTCCAGCGACACAGTCATTACGCTAACTGCTGGTCCCAAATAATTTTTTGTTTTTAATAAATAAAAATAAACCCTACAAAACAAACCTAGTTTCTTCAATGTATAAACAGGGATCAGCAGGTGGCGTGGTGGTTAAGGCGCTGGACACTCCCACAGGGCTGACAACGGTTTGAGTCCCGGGCCCAGTGGCCTGCTTTCTCACTTTCTCTCTCTCTCCTCTCTCTCTCTCTCTGTGTGTCTCTCTGATTAAAATAAAAGAATGAATAAATAAAATTAAATAATTATTTATATATATATAAATTGAAAAAGAAAAAGATGAAAAGAAAGTAGTGGGACCAGCAGGTGGCATGGTGGTGAAGATGCTGGACACTCCCACATGGCCAACCACGGTTCAAGTCCCAGGCCTGGTGGCTTGATTTCCTACTTTCCCTCTCTCTCTGTCTCTGTCTCTAGTTAAATTAAAATAAATGAATGAATAAATAAAATTAAATACATAATTCTTTAAAAAAAAAGAAAGAAAGTAGTAAGCACGAGACTGAGAGAGATGCAAAACGCAGATGGAAAACTGCAATCCATGCTTTACTGGGGTCAGTTTAGAACAGGTGTCTTCAGAAAATTCGTGGAAATGAGCATTATGAACAAACTAAGCATGAGTATGAAATATTTTTTGCACCAAAATAAACTCTGCCATTTTAGTTTTTTTCCCTTTTTTTTTTTTTTAAAGTGTTTGCTATGTATGTTTTCCAGACAAAGAGAAGGAAAGTGAGAAATCAGCCCTCAGCGGGGATGGCCACACCGCAATCCCTTCTCCATTCTCCTTCAGGATTCTGAGTGCACAAGCACCAGCGTGATGTTCTAGCCTCCAGGTCTGGGGCTCAAACCCTGAAGGTGGCCATTTGAGATCCAGCACCTTAACTTCCATGCCACTTGCTGGCCTCTAAGCTGTTCTTTAATTCCATTTTCCACAGGCTATCTGAAGTATCCTCATGTGTGTTTATTTGTATTTATGTATGTATAAATATATAAATAAAAATTGCAGTATTTATTAGACAACTAGAAATTTACACTTGGTCTCAGCCAGAAGACAGAAAAGATGACATCTGGAAATTTAAACACTGACCAAATGTTTGATACTGAGAATTTTGGGGCTGGCTTTATTGTACAGCAGTCAGGTACTACGCAGAGGAAGCTGGGTTCCACGTGACCACCCAGGGTGTAAACCCCGGCCCCATCAGCCTGAAAGACACACTGGATCTGCACACGCCCTGGGTCCTGGCAGGGCAGAGACCTCGAGGGAAAGGACTGCAACGCGACCAGGCTCTGTTGAAGGGCATTTTGTCTCTCTCAGTCACACTTTCTGGCAGGAAAAAAATTCTTACACTTCAATAACGGCATTAAATATTTGTTCAAAGTTCTCTAAGGGACCAGCAGGTGGCATAATAGTTATGACACTGGACTCCCACGTAGTCGACTGTAGTTCGAGTCCCAGGCCCAGCAGCTTAAAATTCACTCCAGGTGTATGTATGTGTGTGCCCAAAATCCCCAGAGGAGAACGGAGGAGAAGGGACTGCAGCATGACCCCCTTCTCCCCAGGAGGGTGTGATTTCTCACTTTCTGTCTCACTCTCTCTTTCTGTCATTCCAGTAAGTGCATGCACCCTATAGCAAAAATCTCTTTTAAAAAAAAATTAAAAACATGATAAAAGTTTTTCTAAAAAATATACAAACTAGGGAGGCTGGCAGGTGGCATGGTGGTTAAGGCATTGGACTCCCACATGGCAGACATGGTTTGAGTCCCAGACCTGGAGGCTTGCTTTCTCACTCACTCTCTGGTCAAATTTAAAAAATAATAATAAATAAAATTAAATAAAATAATTTAATATATGTGTGTGTGTGTGTATGTATACAAACTAAAACATTCACAGAGGAAATGATAGGATGTTTAGGATTTGGTTCAAAATTAATAAAATGGCAGGAGAGAGAGGCGGCCGGTGCATGGCTGGCTCTGCTCCATGGAAACACGGAGCAGGCAGAACCGGCCACAGCCGAGGCCCACTGGAGCTCACTGATCAGTGCACAAAGAATCACTGTCCATGCTGTTTCGTGCAAAATTCTTCACACTAAGTTCTTGTTAAAGGAAAGACAAAACTGGGCCAGCCCATGACACGGTGGACAAGGCAGCTGATCCCTCATGACTGACCACATGGAGTGAAAAACAGACCCAGCCCACGTGGACAGCATGCCCAGAATCCCTGTGGGAGAGTGCACCGGGAGAGAGGGGCCTGGGGATGCCCACTGCCCACAGGGAGTGCTTTCCCTTCCACTCCGTCATTCTCTCTCCGGCAAGTGTGTATGCCCTCGGCAAAATTTTAAACAATTTTAAAAAGACACAGCAGACAGACTCTGGCAGGCCCTGGCGAGCTGAGTTGCAGTGGTGGAGACTACACGGCCAGCCACAGGTTCAGATCCAATCGGGTCGACCTGAGATGTGCCAGGCTTGTGGCGTGACCAGACCCTAGGGCTGCTTCTCTCTCTCAGCCCTCGGGGAGGGTGCTCTTATCCCTCCCCACACACATTCTCTGTCATAAATAAAAAAAATAAAAAATAAATAAAAATAAAAACTTCAAAAAGCCAAAAAAAAAAAAAAAAAGAATTTTTTTCAGAATTCTCAGCATTAAGGTTTTTCTTTTATCACAAGTCAAATTAAAAAGTGATTAGATCCATGTCTCAATGTTAAGAATTTCTAAAAGCAGAAAAAGGAGAAAAGAACGCGGGATGCCAGAGAAGTCTCGTAACCAGCGAAAGACTCAGACCTGCCAGGCGTCATGCCGACAGTCTAAATCTACTTCCAGCTAGGGCATTCCCGAAACTCCCAGAAAGATTCCTTCCCTTCCACATTCATTCAATAGCGCCTGCATTTAAAGGGAGCCAGTAGGTGGCATGGAGATTACAGAAGCTGGATCCCACGTGACCAGCTGTGCAGCTCAACTCCCAGACCCGGCAGGCTGAAAACTGGCTGGACATGTGTACGTCCATGTCCAGAACTCCCGTGAGGAAAACGGAGAAGGGACTGCAGCCTGGCCACCCCTCTGGGGTGACTTCCTGCTTTCTCTCCCTCTCTGTCTCTTTCTTGTGAGCCCATAAGCCCTACAGCAAAATTAAAAAAAAAAAAAAAAAAAGATTGCGTGCCCTTAGGAACCTCTCGGCGTCAGCCCAAGTGTTAAAGAATGTGGACTCCATCAAAGCAACGCACGCTGGCGCAGCAGGCACACGGATGCTCTCAAACCGTACAGTACTGCGAACCAAGAGACCGCAGTCTGAAGCAGGTTCCGAACCCGCGTGACACGCTGCTGACTGCTCGCTTCACCTTCCAGAGAAGCAGCACCTCGCTCTCCTCTGCACCCGCATCAGGACTAGGTTTCTCCTCCCTGCCGGGCCCGCAGCTGGATGCCCGCAGTGCAAGGCAGCCTTCGTCACGACAGAAAGCTCACACAAACCACAGGGCTCCTACCTTTAGAAAGCCATCACTCAAACATGCCAACGATTAAGGGCCAGACAGTGCACTGCGGGAGAGCAGGGGGACCCACCTGGGAAGGCCCCCAGGTTTGCATCCTAGGGCCTCCTGTACTTGCTGGGCGTGTGCGTGTGCCCATAATCCAAGCTGCCATGGGTGGCAGGAAGGACCCATTGAGGGTGCCCTTCTCTGTCTGTCTCTCTTTCATTCTCTCATGGGAGAAATACACAAACTTGAAAAAAAAAAGTTGTATCAATTATACTTCAAGTTATAAATGCTAATAATTTAATATTTGTGAATTTCCTCCCTTTTTTTTCCCTAAATTTGGACACATATTTAAATATGATCACAAAAGAAATACTTTTTGGGGCCAGTAGGTGGTGGGGTGGTTAAGGGCATTGGACTCCCATATGGCAGACCGTGGTTCTAGTCCTAGACCTGGCAGCTTGCTTTCTCACTTTCCCTTTCTCACTCTATCCATCTCTGGTCAAATTAAAATAAATAAATGAATAAAGTTAAATAAAATAAAATAATTCTTAAAAAAAAAAGAGAGAAATATTTTGTACATCTTGGGATATGGCTGCCTTTTGACATCTGAAGACAGAAATACCCAAACACAGGGCTGGCAGGTGTCATGGTGGTTAAGGGGGTAGGACTCCCACATGGCCAACTGAGGTTCAAGTCCCGGAGCTGGTGGCTTGCTTTTTCACTTTCCCTCTCTCTCTTTCTCTCACTCTGTCCCTCTCTGGCCAAATTAAAATAAATAAATAAATAAAGTTAAATTAAAAATAAAATAAAAACTTAGGACCAGCAGATGGTGTAATAGCTAAGTCGTTGGACTCCCATGTAGTCGACTGCGGTTCGAGTTCTGGACCTGGTGGCTTAAACTCATGCTGGGCGCATGTGCATGCATGCGTGTCCAAGATCTGAAAGGAGAATGGAGGAGAAAGGATTTAGGCGTGGCCACCGCCCCCAAGGGGTAATTTCTTGCTTTCTGTCTCTCTGTCTTTCTCTGTCTCTCTGGTGAGCACATGCGCCCTACAGCTAAAACCTCCAAAAAAAAAAAAAAAAAAAAACTTTCAAAATAAAAGGAAAAAATGCCTGAACACTGTGGAGAGAAAACAGTGCATGGCTTTAATGCTCAGTATGGAGCTATAACAGTGAACACTCGTGAGCCAGGGAACACAGGGCTCTTTACTCCCAAACAGGACTGGTTTAACTGCACGGTTCATCAGCGTCTAATAATGTGCAATACTTTCTCTTAAGCTTATCATTTACGTGAGAGTGAGAGACAGAGAGAGAGAGAGAAATAAGCGCCCTCAACAAGGTCTCCCACTGCAGTCTGCCCTCCCCTCGCCCCAGCCCAGCAGGTCACCGGCAAGCACTCAGCTGACCCACACGGGTCAGCCAGGGGACTGGGCCTGCCCTCTCTCACCGGGGTCCAGCATCTCTGAGCAGGGAATCACCACTGCACCATCGCGCCGGCCCCAAACTTTAAATACACAACTGGCTACAGCAGAAGAGCAGGTCTCTAAACACACTGATGCTCAGAAGACACATCGGGGTCCCAGTTAACACCAAAGGTGTAAGGCGCGACTCACACATCCACGCCGCTGGAATGCAGAGGGCTGTGCCAGTTGACTGGAAGGAATTCCACTCTCCCAATCTGCTGATGCTCCTGGGCTTTCTTAAAATGCGTCTGTAGTAAGTTTAAGGAAACACTGCGGAAATCATTCACTGGAAAAGAAAATTAACTTATGCATCAACAGTGAAGCCGTGGGTCTGAGGAATCAGGACACGACACATTACGTATTAGAGTCCAACCACAGCTGCTTAGAGCACACATGCACCTGAGTCAGAATAGTGACACGGTATTCGAGAAAAATGATCGGTGCATATAGATCTAAGTCAGTATCAATTAAGCATGTTAATTAAATCACCAGTATAACTTAATTAAAATTATCACTACATATTGGAAATGTTCCTTTACTATAGAATGCTTGCTTTGATCACACAAAAACATGTCATCAAAAGGAAAAGAAAAGCTCACTTTAAAACTTCTATGTTGGGGCCAGCAGTCAAGGCTGGCAGTAAAGGCTCTGGACTCTCACATGGCTGACAGCTGTTTGAGTCCCAGACCTGGTGGCTTCACAATCATGGGGGTGCATGCATGTATGCCCAGAATCCTAGGAGGAGAATGAAGGAGAAGGGATTGTGGCATGGCCAGTCCCTCTGAGGGGTGATTTCTCACTGTCCCTCTCATCTCTCCCTCTGTGTCTCTAGCAAGTAAATGTGCCCCGTTGCAAAAATCTGACATAGAAGACAATTCTATGCCATAGCATTGTTTCAATGAGAACAAAATCACATCAGTACAGTCAGTAGGTCAGGTGCCTCTTCCAACTCTCTGGTTCTTATAAACAAACACCACCCAGTACTTAGAATTTCAAAGGAAAAAGATACTGCTGTTTGAAACTCCTATCACATTGAGTTTAACCTTTTGGAAAACAATTCTAGTTTATGCTTAGAACCATTAGCCAGAATAAGAATTGGGACAGAAAGACTTTGCATACGATCACATTTTAGAGGACATTACATTTCAAAATTAAGTTATAATGACTTACATCTTTCAATCAGAATATCGAGGTTTAGCAGTCTGCATTATAAAAATGACTGAAGTGTCCGTTATTCACTTAAACTCTATCACCTTTCTAGCCCCATTTAAATTTGGAATGGTTAGAAATAGCACCATCACATTATAGAACAATTTTATAGGGATTAGAGGCTTAGTCACTGAAGAATTATTAGTTAAGCGCATACGCTGTTAGCCTCAGGAATTTATTAGCACCTTAGGTCTAAGCTGGGAAGCTTTGCTACCTTGGCCCCTGTCTTTAGCTCCGCAAATCTTATTATACAGCTCAGACAACAGCCCAAAGATGATGCTTTATCGCAGCTCACAGGAGGGCTGGCTAATATTGTCCTTAAATGGTCGTCTTCCATGATCTGCAAACCTACCACACTGTACGATGCTTCGAAAGCGGAGGTCACATGCTGGCCCGATCCCATGGACCACAAACACCAAATGATCTATTTGTAGAGGTTCCCCTAAAATGAAATTGAAAAGAAAAATTATTCTATATAATTAGTCATTAAAACAATATGTAAGTAAAATCAAACATTCACAATAGTGTATAAGTTACAAATATGAGCAAGTTGGGACCAACAGATGGTGTAATGGTTACATCATTGGACTCCCATGGAGACGACTACGGTTCACATCCTGGACCCAGCAGCTTAAAAGTCACGCCTGGCACGTGTGTGTGCATGTCCAGAATCCCGAGAGGAGAATGGAGAAGGCATTGCGGTGTGGTCATCCCCCCTGGGGAGTGATTTCTCGCTTTCTGTCTCTCTGTCTCTCTAGCAAGTACACATGCCCTATAGCAAAAATCTCTCTAAAATAATTAATTAAATAAGAACAAATTAAAATATAAAAGATAATTTAAAGGGCACAATATAGTCCAAATATTTAACTACTTAGTAAAACTACATTGATTTTACCTGGTATCTAATTTATCTTGAAATAAGTCTGGAAAAGTTTTTCAGGTTTTTAATTTTTTATTCTGAAATAAATACAAACTTACAGAAAATTAGAAGGCATAGTACAGAAACTCCCATGTACTTTATCCGCGAACTCAGCGTTTAAGTTACCACATTTGCTTTTCTCTGCATAAATTAATTTTCCTGGAATATCTGGGAGCAGGCTGTGTGCACCATCAGGAGGCATATACCGTAACTCTTTAACACTTGAATATTTTAATGTGTATTTCCTACACACATTCTCTCTTTTATTTTAAAGAAGTATTTTATTTAACTTTATTTATTTTAACTTGACAGAGAGAGAGAGAGGAAGAGAAAGTGAGAAAGCCAGCTGCCAGGTCTGGGACTTAAACCATGGTCGGCCATGTGGGAGTCCAGCACCCTTAACCACCACGCCACCTGCCAGCCCCCCTAAGAATATTCTTTTATATAACCATAGTAGTTACCAAATCCAGGTAACTTAACATTGATAGAATATTTTCCTCTAATATTCCATTTTTATCAATTTCCCCAATAATATATTTTTTTAAAGCCTGAAGTTTTACCTTTTTGAAATTTATTTAACTTACTATTTTTTTAATTTGACCAGAGAGAGGGAAAAATGAAAGGAAGCCACCAGATCCAGGACTCGAACCAGAGTTAGCCATGTGCAAGTCCAGTGCCTTAACCACCGCACCACCTGCCAGCCCCAAAGTTTTGCTTTTTTCTTTGTTTTTTTTTTTTTATTTTTTAAATTTATATTCATTTATTTTTAATTTGATGAGAGAAAGAGAAGGTGAGAAAGCAAGCCACCAGGTTCGGGACTCGAACTGTGGTTGGCCATGTGAGAGTGTCCAGTGCCTTAACCACCATGCCACCCGCTGGTCCCCTGTTGTTTTCTTTTAAGACAAGACCTCACCACGTGGCTATTCTCTTGCCTCAGACTCCTCCTAGCTGGGTGCTTACTACCATGCCTGGCCAAGCCTGAAATTCCATACTCATCTTCTTAGTTGCAGTGACTCTAAGACCAAGTCTGAGAGACAAGTGGCCTCCCCCGGAAGACACGCAATCTGGCTGATATGTTATAAAATCGACCGGAAGTGACCTGTGCTGCATGGGTCACTTACGGACAAGCACCAGGAAGATGAACGAGCAGTTCCCCTTGGAGGATAGAAGTTACCAGGCATCTCTAGTCACACAGATGGAGCCACATGTCTTAGAATCAGGCTGAAACCAATTCATCTGTAATTAGTGACTTCTTGATTCTGCCAAATTCATCCCTCCCCATATGTACTTGGCTCTCAAAGAGGTTTCTACATCCATTACGAGTCTGGGGCATGGGGGGCAGGTGGCATGGTGATGAGGGTGCTGGACCCCCACAGGGCCAGCTTACTTCCTCACTGCCCCCCCCCTCTGTCTTTCTCTGGTCAAATTAAAAAATAATAATGAAACTGAATAAATAATTCTTAAAAAAAAAAAAGATTCTGAATAGATGAAGTGATGCTAACTAACCTTAACTTAGACTAAGCCTGAGTGATTAAAGATCATTTTTAAGACCTAAGGTAATACAAATCCATAGGAAAAGGTCACAGTAAAAGGGAGAAACAGATAAGCATACAGGACATCATGAGAAAAGTACACGTTAACATTACCACACTGAATGTCGACAGAGATGTTTTCAACCCCTCTCTTCACTGTCCGTGGCCGACCCTGCTCCGTGGCTGTGGCGCCCCATTCATCAGACCCTGGGACTGGCTGGTAATGCACCATGAGCTTAAACAGAAAAAGTCAGAGGGGAAAGAGGCTTTCTTCATTACAGTCCTCTCTCCACAATCCATTTGGAAAGGCAGGCACGTGTCTTTCAACGCAGTCAAATCTCAACCAGAATTGGTATGCAACTTCTGCAGCTTGAACTGAGAGCCGTGAGAATACCTTCGGCTAACAGACTTTGCCGCAACAAATAATAATGAAACTGAATAAATAATTCTTAAAAAAAAAAAAGATTCTGAATAGATGAAGTGATGCTAACTAACCTTAACTTAGACTAAGCCTGAGTGATTAAAGATCATTTTTAAGACCTAAGGTAATACAAATCCATAGGAAAAGGTCACAGTAAAAGGGAGAAACAGATAAGCATACAGGACATCATGAGAAAAGTACACGTTAACATTACCACACTGAATGTCGACAGAGATGTTTTCAACCCCTCTCTTCACTGTCCGTGGCCGACCCTGCTCCGTGGCTGTGGCGCCCCATTCATCAGACCCTGGGACTGGCTGGTAATGCACCATGAGCTTAAACAGAAAAAGTCAGAGGGGAAAGAGGCTTTCTTCATTACAGTCCTCTCTCCACAATCCATTTGGAAAGGCAGGCACGTGTCTTTCAACGCAGTCAAATCTCAACCAGAATTGGTATGCAACTTCTGCAGCTTGAACTGAGAGCCGTGAGAATACCTTCGGCTAACAGACTTTGCCGCAACACCCCAACCTGGAACGTGGGTTCACATAACGCATCATATTTTTCCTCAGCACGCTATTTTGTGTAAGCTAAGTGGGATAAATCGTGGTAAGGGCTCCAAGCTTTCAATGTGATGACTCTAAATCAAGATAAAGACTGTGAAGGGTAATCCCAAGTAGAGTCGGTAGGAAAAAGAAACCAAGTGAGTTCCCCTCGCCGTGCTGTGAACGCTAACCCCCTCGCTTTACCTTTGGGTTGTGCAATACAATAATTTCTCTGTTGGGAGACTCCAGTTTCTTCTTCCATTCATCCAGAGTGACAGCAAGCATGTAAGCTTCCTTAAAAGAAAACACATTTCACTAGTTATCTAATAGCTTTCCTAACAAAACTGAACTTATTCGAAAGAATATTCCTAGATGTATAAGAAGCTATAATAGTAAATACTAAAATTAACTTTTTGAGCTAACAAGACCACCTAACATATCAACTTTACCTTAAAATCATTTTTAAATTGTAACAGATAATATGGCAAGGAACAAAGAAAAAATTCTGATTCCATCATCTGGACTAGATCATTGCTATTCATATTTTTATGTATTTCTGTCAAAAATACTAATGTTCTCGGGGCCGGCAGGTGGCGTGGTGGATAAGGGCGCAGGACTCCCATGTGGCCGACCATGGTTCAAGTCTCGGAGCTGGTGGCTTGCTTTCTCACGTTCTCTCTCTCTCTCTCTCTCTGTCTCTCTGGTCAAATTAAAGAATAAAATGAATGAATAAATAAAATTAAATAAATAATTCTTAAAAAAAAAAGAAATACTAATGTTCTTGCCCAATTTAAGAAAATTTTGTTTTCATAGCAAGAAAATATGAATAAAAAAGATCAATCCTGTAGCCATATCAATAGTTTAAATATTAACAATGATTACCATTAGGGGAAAACACCAAATTTAAAGGCATAATTAATACAGTTTCCATAGTAGTTTTTTTTTAAGAGAGATTTTTGTTCCCCAGAGACACAGAGAGAAACAGAGACAAAGCAAGCAATCACTTGCTGGGGGATGGCCACGCTGCAGTCCTCCTCTCAGGATTTTGAGCAAGCATGCACACATGTCCAGAGTGAGGTTTAGACCACTGAGTCTGAGACTCGAACCACAGTCAACTATGTGGGAGTCCAACGATGTAACCGTTAAGCCATCTGCTGGTCCCTCCACAGTACTTGTATTTTATATTGCCAGAGGGTATCTGTGCTTACCAGAGAGAGAAGTCAAGCACCCGCAGTAGGCCATGGTCACACCACACCTGTCTCCTCCATTTGTCTATCCTGCTGGGATTTGGGGCACACATCATAAGTACCCGGTGTGTTTTTCAAGCTGCTAGGCCAGGATTTCACAGGAGGCCACGTGAAATCTGGTTACCTTAACTACTAGGTTACCAGGCCACTCCTCCACAGTATTTTCAAATCTGAAAATAAACTATTTTATCCTGAAACCAACTTGTGAAAAGAAACCATATAAACTGCTACTTAGGGCCGGATTATAGCACAGCAGTAATGCACTGCTCAAGCAAAGCTGCATCCCAGGTTCGAATCCCCGACTGCAGGCAGGGTACACACACAAGTGCCCACCTAGCAGGAGGGCCAGAGGAAGAGGACCGTGTGTGACAGGCATTGCGGGGGCTGCTACGCTCTCTCTCACATCCACACACACAACCTCTCTCATAGATTTTAAATAAACAAATAAATAAAATGTGACGTAGACAGAGTCAAACTCATTCTGGAAATTTCACAAAATAAGTCACAAGAGGAAAAAAAAGATTAAATAAAAGGGGAAAAATGACGGAAACGGGGACCAGCAGATGGCATCACGGTTACACCCCTGGACTCCCACGTAGCAGACGGCGATCTGAGCTCCGGACCCAGTGGCTCAAAACTCACGCCAGGTGCATGTATGTGTGTGTGTGCCCAAAATCCCAAAGGAGAATGGAGGAGAAGGGATTGCGGTGTGACCATCCCCCCGGGGAGTGAGTTCTCATTTCTAGTCTCTCTGTCTCTGTCTTTAGTGAGTGCATGCCCCCTACAGCAAAAAAAAAAGAAGGGAATGACCGAGTAAAGACAGGTCACAGGGATACCTCTAAAACCTGGCTGAAGCTCTCCGAGTAGGGGATGTACTTATTGTCCTTGTCCCCCTTGTAAAACCAAGTGCATCGCCGCACTTCGGACACCAGCTCGTCCCAGTACACGGCGTAGCGCATCCGCTCCCCCAGGTGGACGTCGTACCGGCCCCCATCGGTGGGGACCACTCTCCCGTTACAGTCTTCTCCTACCGGGCATGGTTAAAGGAGAAAAGAAGTACATATTTCAAAATAAATCTCCCAAAGCACAGTTCTGAGTTACACTCTAAATAATGTTATAAAACATATATTGGGACCAGCAGTTAGCATAATGGCTATGTCGCTGGACTCCCATGTAGTTGACTGCGGTTTGAGTCCTGGACCCAGTGGCTTAAACTCCCGCTGGGCGCGTGTGCATGCGTGCCCAAGATCCTGAGAGGAGAATGGAGGAGAAGGGATTGTGGCGTGGCCATCCCCTCTGGGGGGTGATTTCTCACTTTCTGTCTCTCTCTGTCTTCTGGCAAGTGCACGCACCCTATAGCAAAAAGTCTCTCCAAAAAGAAAAAACAATAACTCAAGAGTTCGTTTTTCTGCAGTGTGACACCCCACCCTGCACACACTCTTCATAAAAACAGAGACCAGCAGATGGCCTAATGGTTACATCAGTGGACTCCTACATAGTCGACCGAGGTGCAAGTCCCAGAACTGGTGGCTTAAAACTCACGCCAGGTGCATGTGCACACTTGCCCAAAATCTTGAGAGATCACGGGAGAAGGACTGTGGTATGCCCATCCCCTGAGGGATGACTTCTTGCTTCCTGTGTCTCTGTCTCTCAGGCATGTGTACACGCCCTATAGCAAAAATCTCTCAACAAATTAATTAATTAATTAATTAAAAATAACAAAAACAGAAATGTAAGTTAGATATAAAAAATACTATTTGGTAACTAAGCAGAATTACAATAGATGCTTTTTTTCAACACACAGACCAAAATCTTGAATATTACAGATTGGGGGCATAACGGGGCTGGCAGGTGGCATGGTAGTTAAGGCAGTAGACTCCCACATGGCTATCCGCAGTTCGAGTCCCAGAAATGACCGTTTGCTCTCTCACTTTCCCTCTCTATCTGGTCAAATTAAAAAGTAATAACAATAAATAAAATTATATAAAAATAATTCTTTAAAAAAACAAATTGGCTGAATAGTAATAGGGAACTGAGATAAAAAAATGTAAAAAACTGACTAACGGGAAAAATCTAAGACTGACTCTTACTAGCGCTCACTGTAAAGATGATTCTAAAGCACAGAGAGAGGTCTTCATTGTATTACAAACCACCGCTTTCACCCACCAGAGCCATATGCCTCTTCCAGCAGCCGTGAATCCTGGGCGTTGAAAGGGATCCACGTCTCCCTGGAGTCGATTATCTTACAGTAAAACCAGTGTGGCGAGACCGGCTCGTATAAACTGCTAGCATCCATGTCTAGAAGCTCGAAGGAACTGCTAGAGTTTGGTGATGGGGACGGGTCCGACTGAGAGGGCGGCTCCTGCTGGGATTCTACCGAGGACATTTCGTTCTCTGAAAGGCAAAACGAACAAAAGCTGTCAGGAAAACGATGCTCCTGTTAGCAGGTAACTGTCCACACACTCAACTGTAGCCATCTCTGGACAAGTAAAAGGTGCGGTGGCTCTGACTCTGAGTAAGAGTAACACACACCAACAGCGGGCCTCTGCGGGAGCGGAGCTGGGGCAGAGAGCCGAGACCCACCATTTAGCCCCGGGGCTCTCCAAGGCCCTCAGAAACGCGGGGCTTACCCAGACAGCAAGTGCTGGAGCAAAGATCGAGGCCCCGGCGGTCACCCCTCCATCGCAACCACACGCTGCTTCCCCGTTTCCAATCTAACCCTGGGGCCAAAGGCACGCACTGTCTACCAGTCGGCTGGCCCTGCCCTGATAACGCCGGGTTCAAGGCCGAGGGCCGCTGTCACGCACGCTCACGACTGTCAGCGCCTTGAACTAAGGAACTAAGACGGTCCCGGGAGGACCGCTCGCTTTTTATTGATGCTTGAAGCTGCTTTTAGGGGCTGCGGCCCCAATTCTGAAAACACGGCCTGGAGCCACCGTGCACCCCCTCGCCAGGTCTCAGGTGCAAAGTAGCGAGTGACCTCGAATGGCTCCCTCCCGGGAAGCACGGCCCCGCCGCCGGCCGCTCGGGAACGGCTGGGGCAGGCGAGCA